AAATTATAATGTTTTTTCATGGTAAACTGTTTTTAAATGTTGCACGTATAGGCTACTCTAGTTACACCAAGGTGTAAGACAGAAAGTACATAAACACTTCCGTGTTAATTAGCGTGAAATTGGTTAGAAGAACAATTTTTTAGTAAAAGTGTATCGGAAGAATGAGAATCAGGTGGTCTCCCTACGCCACCGTGACCAGCTGTTCCGAGTGCGGGTCAATACAGCTGCAGTAGGCTGACACTGACCCAGTTTGTTATTTAGAGGTTGTCTCCCTCAACAAGGCCGATCGTCATTTATTTCCTCCTTCGCTGTATTTATGTAGCAAGTTTATTACGAAATTAACCTAATAAACTTTCAGCAAAGACATCAGTGATATTCTTACTGAATTTAAACGACTAGTAAATTTGCATAATATTTGTTTGATATTATTTTTTAACACTGTCTGGTTGTATACGGTTGATTGAGTAGTCGAAGGAAGTTTTTAAAGATGGCAAACAATGCAACGAGTTTTTGAAACTAAGAAACGTCCTCTAAAGAAACTTTAATAACGTTTTGAAGATATACACACGTTAAGGCGATATTAGGTCTACATTTTGAACTCTCGTCTTTTACCGCGCCTTTGAGTCCGTTAGGAACTATACGGAGTGTGTTGGACTTTGGTTCAGGACATTTCTAGTATGTCGCAGTTGACAAAACAATATATGGGCGATATTGATTGAAGAATAGACACGTTCACACGTTATGTTTATCTGTACACCACAACACCTTCAGTATGTCAAGCTGATAGACAGTGTTGTGTTGTGTGGTATGTTTGTACGAGTGTCGACTGTTCACACAATAGACCGGGCGTGTCTACCGCTATACATAGAGGTCGTTAGCATTGCGCGCATTGTTAGATGGAGGTTACATGTGCGGTGAACACAACCCAATGTAAACTTGAGAAAACTAGGTTAGCTTAGGTCTTAATATACCTTAGTAATAGCGGAATACATTGTGAATTTCAAACAAATTTTATTTGCTTTAATTTTAGTAGGCCTGTACACTACAACTGGATATTGAATGATGAAAGAATAGACTGGCAACATATTTTCAAGTATCAAGTAGTCTACAACCCAATAGCTTTCAATCTAATTTACAGCAGAGACGATGTGAAGTGCAAGATAAGCCGCTATCAGTGACAGTGCGCGATGGAGACGCGCGTGGCAGTGCCGCTGCGGGCCGGCGGAAAGAAGATGCGGAAGCGCAAAGAGCTGGACGCGCTAGGACGGCGCGGTCGCCGCGCTCCCTCCGGCGGCGGCGTGAGCTCGCAGGACGGCCTGTTGAGCGACACGACGGACGACGAGGAGTGGCGCGGCAGCGGCAAGGCGCGGTTGGGCCGCGCCGACACACGCGGCGGCTGGGCGCGGCGGAGGGCGTGTGTCGGCGTGTTGAGAGCCTGCACGCTCGTGCTCGTGTTCGCCTGTGTGGTCGCCACTACCACTGTCATGTGGCTGTTCATAGACGTCAGGGAGCAGGCGACGTTCTTGAGGAACCAGCTGGATCAAGGTAACATAATAGTCACTCGGTAGATTGCAACTTTCACTTTCTGTTATTCCTCTTTGGAAGATTGTTATGGTTTTATTTTAGCTTTGCAGAATTTTTCAGGACATAATACTGACATGGTACATTTTGATGGAATGATAATAGGATGTTGTTCAAAGGTTTATTGCGGACATTTTCCATCACGAATGTAAAAAACATTTTTTCGTGATGGAAAATGTCCGCAATAAACCTTTGAACAACATTAACTCACCATCACCAACAATGAACTTCAAACAAAGGATAATAGGATGATTGTTTTCCACCAAGTGTAACATGCTCCACTTGATTTTACAGAGAGTTGTCAGAAATATTTAGATTTTTCCTTACCTGTAGTATATGAACTATAGTGAAAATATCGATGATGAAAAGTATGTAAAGTCTATACTGTACATGTAAGACCTTATCTTATATGTAGCCACGCCCTTTGAGTAGTCCACAATTCATCGATTCTTCTTAATTACACCAGAATGGAGACAATATACTGTTAAAGCTGTTTTTTATAGTTTGGCTACTTAAACCATGCATTTGCTCATCCACATGACTGTATTGACTCACCCCTTGCTTTGCTGGATACATTTTACGCAGAGGTGTCTGTACTGGCAACTAAAAAGGTTGCTTATATCTTTTTTCATATACATTTTTTATAAAATTCAGTCACTAGAATTTTTCTGGAAATCTTTGTAGGAATCATCAAATTTATTTAAATCCTTCTATAAATTGTCATACATGTTAAAACCGAGAAACTTTTTTATAACATAGGAGCATTAGCATATTGGGTTTGTGGAGGAGTAAAGATAATTTAACTACTAATCTAAGTGGGAGTGGGAGGTAGCCTGTGCAACTTCTATTGTGTGTGAGGTGTGTTGTTTGAGGGCCTGCCATAAGCAATGAGACCTTGAAACCTTTCAGGCATTGTTTGCTCACTTGGCTGAGATAAGTGTTATCTGTTAGTCACTAAGTGAATCTAGGCTGTGATAACAGTTCTTTGAAACAATTGTAACACACTAAGTGGTGCTTTTATTCCAACCTCTTTGATAAGAAGAAAAGTATGGTAATGGAATAAGAGTTTGTTTCCTATAAATTATTTTGGATTTTTATCAGTTGAAAAATCAATTATTAGGCCTGCCGATTTTTCCAAGAAAAATGTGTGATGCCGGACATTAAATACTGACTTCCTATTCAGGGGGTTTGCAAAGAATGCAACCATGAATTAAAGTGTATTGATTTCAGTCGTAACTGTTAGTAAAAAGATACCAAAAGATGTTGAGGGCCGCTCCAAGTTGAATGCATTATGTTGATTGCCACAGGGCAGCATTTTATGGCCTTTATTTTATTATGAATTATCTTCTGCATATTGTATTTCTTAAAGCCCGTTTTGCCAGAAGCCGCTGTTGCGTCTGAAGCTGGCGATGATTGCTAGAGCGATAACTGCTCAGCGTTCCATCGCTTGAAGTTATTCTGCCAGAAGCGTCTGTTCCTTATGATTATTTTATCAATGAGTGGTTTTATTTGTTGGCGAAAGGAGTGTTGTACCTATTTGAAATGAGATGTAAAAAGCAAATAGTGAAGTACTATTTTTGTACACCGAGGAATTGGATGATGAAGATATTTTAGAAATATTGTGCAAACTAAGAGAAAAAGTGCGTTCTATGTTTTTAAAGAGGCCTGAAGGGAGATATTATATTAATTATTAAAATAAAATCACCTCCATTCTAGAACGCAAGGTGTGCTTCAATCATTTTATTATCTTCTTCGCTATTAAATCCCCACTTTGATTGTGACGCGTCATTAAACCCACAAATCCGGCTTAAAAACACAACTTAAAATAAATTAAGAACAGTCGAACAGCAAAACTTGTGTTTCTTCTAGCAACCGCGTCTCCATCTGCTCCAGGAGCTGTGGTCAGCGATAGACGCTAGCGGTTTAGTTACAGACGCTGGCGGCTGTAGCGATAGACGCTTCTGGCATAATAGACTAACCTGAAACAATGCATAGCAGTGGTCAGCGATTGTCGCGGAATGATCATCGCTGAGCAATAGACGCACCAGCTGCTTCTGGCAAAACAGGCCTTTACTTTACACATATGATACATTATTGGATTTTGAAGGCCCTCAATTGGACTTGGTAATGATTGAGTCCTTGCAAGTACTTCAAAGTATTGTTGTCTGATAATTATTTAATTTTGAGATAAATCAAGCTGTCTTCAATTTTAAGAAAAATTGCAAATTCATTCAGTAAATGTCGAAGAGTTTCAAGTAGAAGATGTGTTCACAGCCAAGTTTCTGGGTTTGAAAGTAGACTTATGATGTGTCTAATGTTTTCTAAATGAAGTAAGCTCATTGGAAATTATGAATCTGCCACTCTAATTAAGTAAAGGGTATCAGGAAGGGTTATAAGTCCAGAAAGGCGGAAATTGCCTCATGTTTCTGGCCGGGTTGCCGATATGGCCATGTTAGTAGGGGAAATAGTATATTTCATTACTAGGACCGAAAGTGGCATTTTCCGTCGCACGCTCTAGTTTTTTTGTGAGACAAAGCCTCACACAGGGAACCCCAATTTCTATTTATATTTCTCAATCAATTTTGTTAAACATGGAAATACAAAAATAAAACAACTTTTAACAATACATACAGCTGATTCAAGTCATCAAATTAAACCGTAACAAAACACTAGTGCGCGTAGAGAATAAATGGAGAACTAATTGAGAGCGAGGGAATGTAAATTTAGAGCGAGGGAAAATCAGCTGATCGATTTTCCCTTGCCCTAAATTAGAGCTTGGGAAACGGCTACTTTCATTGACGTCAGCTGTTATCGAAAATAGTTACTTTCGTTACAGAGTGATGAAAAGGTTTTTTCAGAGGGAACCCAGTGGCTGCGGTCTTTAAAAAATGTCTTTTCATCAACTTCCTTATATTTTCAGTTCATAAGCGACTATGTTGCCAAGGGCTCGGTTTGAACCCATATTGTCTCATAACCCTTCCTCTGCTCAACCCTCCCTTGCTCTTTAGTGAGTGTGGCAGTTTTATTACACCAATAATACCTCAAATATTGTGGCAGTTTTACTACTGCCTTGAATCACGTTTAAGGTTTGAACATCACCTGCACTTTTGAGCTCAAATGCTCTTCTTAAGGTTACATGTGTTTCTCATCTGCAAATGGTAAATGATTGTGGGATCCCTTCCAAGACCCTATGATTTTTGTAGGACAAACTGTGCTTTACTATCATTAGTGGCTTTCTGCTGAACATATATTTAGAGGAGAATTGCAATCGTAAAATAATTTCAGATGTCAGCCTCATTTTCAAAGTTATCTTAATTATATAACCTTGGAAATATCCCACCATTGACACAAACATTACTTTTTCTTTTATTTCTCAGAAGTGTCGCTCTCGTAATAAACACAACATCGCCATGTTTCAGTTGTCGCTGGCAGCCAAGGCGTTCCAGAGGCATTACAGAAGTGCCACTCCATGTCCAAACAACTACAGCAGAACCAGACGGCGTTGTTCATCAAACTCAACTTGCTCACTAACCAGCTCAACAACTTTACGTCACAGGTAACGTTGATGACAGCGGAAAACATTACCAGCCAATACTGTGTTCCCATGTGAATGAACAATGTCCATGTTATTAGCCACAAGGGTCATAACTAGAGGTTGGCGTTATTTAACGTACAGTAGACTCCCTCTTATCCGGACACCTTTTAACCGGACATCGGTTTAACCAGACTAAACTCAGCAACAATGGCATCTCTTTAACCGGACAATTTTTATCAGCACATTGGTTTAATCGGACTAGATCGGCAGGAAGTGGGCGGTACTGAAACGACTGTTATCAAGGGAAAGATTTGAGACCAGTGATCACGTTTCTAAATACAATACTCTCCTAAATTTATGCACAGTATGCATCTAAACGGTCCGTTTTAACGAGTTTTTTGGGACGTCGGTTTAACTGGAAAACCTGTTGTCCGGACTGGGTTCGGTCCTAAGGAGTCGGAATGAGAGGGAGTCTACTGTAATAGGGAAAATAATACTATTACCAAAGTGTCACCACCCTCGTAATAGGTTGCTGTGAATACCGTATTATTTTTGTAACATATCATGAACTGTTTCAACAAACAAATGAAATAACGTCCCTGCTGATCCCAAGCTAGAGCGTAGGTTCTTAGGATGAAGGTGAGACAGAAAAAAAGTGTAACTTCATCCATTTTATCATCCAGTGAGCATTCATCAGAAGTTCCCGGGTTTGGTCCTTCCTACCCATTGTAGCCATTAAAATTAAATAAGTTGCACAGATCAAGTTACACTTGAAAACAAACTAGATTAGAAACATTGATATTTATATTTTTGCTAGTTTTTAGCCTGGGATTGTTTTTACACATTATTTCAGAATATATCTAGAGGTTTGTGGCATTATCAAATGGATAAAATCCATTGGTGAGTGGTGGGATTTGAACCCGGAACCTCTGGGACCTAAACCCGATGCTCTACCACGAGACCAGCTCGCTAACACGATAATCTAAGTTAATGTTTGTGGAACAGTACGGAAAGTTGTTTGTGACCTGGAATTTGGGTAAGACGTATAGACCTTCACAGCTAAATTGTGTTGCAGGTGACAACCATCAGTAACTCACTGGCCAAGGTGGAGCAGAGGTTCAAGACGTCCCCAGAGCTAATCAAGGTGCCTCACGACCTGGAGACCTTGACGACCAACATCGCCACCTTCGGCAGCCAGATGCAGGACCTGGAGGCGAATGTGGTGCAACTCAAGGAGGCCAATAGTAAACTGTCCGAGGCAGCTAAGGGACTGCAGACTAACGTCTCTACTCTCAGGGTATGTAACGATAGTGGATGGAAGTGGAATTCCATTCCCATAGCTTTTTATCAGTTTTAGAATTATAAATTTGATAAAGCAACATTTGATTCCCGAATTATTAGATAAATTTGTGATGAAGAAATTGTGATTTTGATACTCCATGGCTATTTCTTGTCAATTATGTCTTACAATTTGTTGTGCTGGGCAAATTCACCTTGTAGTAATTATATCTCTAATCAGTAAAAAAGGCCATCAGAGTTATTGTTAACATCAGCTCAAAAAATCTTGTTGATCCAGTTTATTAAAAATATCTTACCCTCCCTGCTCTTTATATTTTAAACTTGGCACTTTTCACTAAAACAACATTAATTTATTTGTAAACTGTAAAACAACTCATAACGGTAATTGATGAAATAATCAACTTTTGGAGAATCCAAGCCCCAGATTTGCTATGTTTCACAATACTCCCTATTATCAATGTACAGGTCTACAAAAAATTATCTTTTTATTTCACATATAAGTCTTTGAGCCACTATACTTTGCATTGTGTTGTATCTATGTTTATGGATGGATTAGACATCTCATGTAACTTGTTTTAAATACCTGCATTTAAGTAATTCAATTCGTTGTGTTATGTCACAACCGGTTTCAACTCTGTGTCATCTTCAGCTGTACAAGGATAAAGTTGTCACTTCATTGAAGGATGGTTTTTAAAACAAACAAAAAAACTTTACATGGACATTGAACAGACACTAACACGTTACAAAACACTAAAACATACTGACATGGTGATGACATAAAACAACGAATTGGATTATTTAAATGCAGGTGTGTAAACCACTTAAAGTATTATACAGTAATCCGGTGGCTAACTTACATCAATATGTTCCAATATTAAATTAGTAAACTAATCCAGCTTGATATTGTAACTAGATAGTGCCAGACTAGCGGGTAATGACTAATAAGGGAAAAGGGTAAAACACTTGCTGAATATCTAACAGCAAAATGGAAATAACTAATATTGCCCCAGTCGTGGAGATAACATCATTTCCCACAATGCAGTAGAACCTGTCTGACCTGGGCTAGTCCGATTCCTTGCGTAATCTGACCATGCCATTGCCTTCGGTAACATTGTTATTGCAGTAATAGTGACCATTTCTCATAGACGAATAAACATCATCACCCTCTCCCTGCAATCGTGACCAAATTTTGGTTTATCCTCCGTGGTGACAGACACATCATCACAGGGAAAAAGAGAATGTTCAGCAGTAATGGAAACATCAGAGTCTTCTTCAATCATGGATAGTGGATACGTTAGTGTAATCCCCCCGCGACTATGGCAAAACTAGTATATCTCCTGCAGTAACTGAAACATTTTTATTGTCCACCACGATTATGGCTTAACATTGTGACCGCCTCCCTCAGGTTTTCAAACGTTATCATCGTCTACTATGATTGCAAAATCCCAGAAAAATCCTGCTTCATGGAAAAATCATCATCGTCTTTGGCGATTGCGGTACAAAATTGAGTATCTCCAAAAATTGCGGGGATACTGTTATAGTCTCACAATATCACGGAAATTTTATTGTTGTTATCTGAGATCATGGAAAAATTCTGAACACAGAAAAGCCACATCAAATTTTCACTGTTCCGCCCATGCTTCTAGTCTCGTGCCATAGGTGAGAGTTAAGGGTGGGCTCTACCTCAGCTCAGAAATCTCAGAACGATGTTCGAAGTGTCCGCCAGACTGCGCCGTGTCGGTGCAACCCAGTTGGAGGGGAAGTGGTGGGAGGAGCTAGGAGGTTCGCGAGTTGACTGCTACGTTAGGCAGCGCCCTGCGGAGCTCCCGACGCACACACGCGCAAGCGCAACCGGGTTATTATTCGCGCGTCTGCGTATCTTTTGCTTCTGCTCAACCTCCATCATGCCCTGCCACCGACACTCACTGGCAGCAACGTGACGTTCGCATCGCTCCCATAAGCTTATACAGTAAAAAGTAAAACATTCCTAAATATCGAGTCTTGTTTGTCATTATTGAATAAAAAAAAAATACTTTAGTTATACTTTGTAAAGTATCACTGCATTAAATTATAGTAATCTTAAGGTTTTTTTAATCAACTGTTATATTTATTTATTTTCTTTTGTTGATGTTTAAGGTTTTCATTATTATTTAACTCTATTCCAACTGTAGCTACACCGTAATGGGCACAGAATCAGTCGGTATCTCACACATTCTTGGGGATTATAATTATGTAATTAATGTTTACAAAAAATTAATGTTTACAAAAAAGGCAATGGTGGTATGAAAATTTCATTTTTAAAGTATCTTTTATCACATAAAGAAAGAATCCACTCATTTATTTTTCATCGTTCATTATTAAAACCAATCATTTAAGTAAGGTTGTGTGGTTAACAAATAAAGCAATCTAAATGACAATGGTCCACATTTGGTTCACATGAATAAGATGCCTATTTGCAGTATTCAAAGTCAATGTTACGTCGGGTTCACTTAAAGTCAAGAGTTGATTCTGCCTTATTCCGGCGACCATAATTATTGGTTACCGTATTCATTTTATAGTAAATTCCCTAGTGAAAAAAATCCAGTAACTGGCCAGGTTCTGGCCCAGGTTCCAGAATTGGCAGGAACCTGGGCCAGAACCAGAACCTGGCCAGTACTGTTAAAGAACCTGGCCAGTACTGTTCCAGAACCTGGCCAGTACTGTTCCAGAACCTGGCCAGTACTGTTCCAGAACCTGGCCAGTACTGGTTCAGAACCTGGTCAGTACTGTTCCAGAACCTGGCCAGTACTGTTCCAGAACCTGGCCAGTACTGTTCCAGAACCTGGCCAGTACTGGTTCAGAACCTGGCCAGTACTGGTCCAGAACCTGGCCAATACCGGTCCAGAACCTGGCCAGTACCGGTCCAAAACCTGGCCAGTACCGGTCCAGAACCTGGCCAGTACCGGTCCAGAACCTGGCCAGTACCGGTCCAAAACATGGCCAGTACCGGTCCAAAACATGGCCAGTACCGGTCCAAAACATGGCCAGTACCGTTCCAGAACCTGGCCAGTACTGGTCCAGAACCTGGTCAGTACTGGTCCAGAACCTGGTCAGTACTGGTCCAGAACCTGGCCAGTACTGGTCCAGAACCTGGCCAGTACTGGTCCAGAACCAATCTTGGGCGACGACGCAAAGATAGAACAGAATCAACCGAGAGGAGGGGAAATATCGATCGATGGCTGTGGTGGGAGAGCCGACGACAGGTTGAGCCGTTGGCCGCATGGCCGCGCCACTGCACGGCGCCTTGAAGAGCGCTTGCAAGCCTTTCGAGTCTGCGTGTTTACATAGTTATCATTCAACTTTTTAGTAAACTAATTCCAGGTTCTTGTTTTTAAGAATTTATTGCAGGTTTACCGTTTTTTATTTTTCTCTACAAATTATTTTAATGTATTAAAACTCATTAAGAAACGCCTATTTTTACATTTTTCACCAACCTTTGAGCCCAACATTTTTAAAATTATCAAAATAAAAAAAAAACGAGAAACCTACAATAACATTTCACGAAAAATATGACACCAAGATCTTTTAAATCGGTTCACAATTGGGGCTACAATCAGGAAGAACTAAAACCCTTACATTTGCGCGCGCCAGACGGGTAGAGAGCACCCTTAAGAAGTCCTCTGAGCCAGAGTGATATGCAGCAATGTTTGTATGTTGCTGCGCGGTATTTGCAGGTGCTCTTTTGGTTTTAACGCAGTGGATATGAGCCCTGACTGCCGCGTGGAACATGAGTAACCCGCCCGGCGCGCCTAGACGTTGAGTAGCAAGTGCCTGCATTTTTACAATAGGCCAGGGCTCAGAGGACTTCTTAACTCTAGCCTACAGTAGGTGACGGAACACCATAGTGGTACTGTAGTGGGAAAATCAGCTCTCAGGATCAAGAAGAGTTGTCTGAATTTTACACTGCAATATCTGCAGATACTTTCTGCGATCCCAATAAATTGTGAGAATAAAATCTCTGCTCGATTCTCTGACTGAGTGCTTTTCCTCCGACTGGACAATTCTGACCTAAATGGTAGCATAGGGTAGGCTAGATGATTGTCTTTCGCAGTCACGGCAACACTTATGAGCATATCTCACGATCGCAGCAACTCTCATGAGTGTATCTTTTAGTCTCAGTGATATCATGATTCTCTTTCACTAAAGCAGCAACAATTTCTTTTGGTCTTGGCGATACTGAAATCGTTTCCTTTTGAAAGCGACAAGCCCCAAAACTAGTGAGCACTCATTGCGGTCTCGGCAATAACGTGATTGGCTCTACGGAACATATGTCTACTGTTTATTCTTATCTTTTCATATAAGACAGGAGAACCAATGCTATGATGTCAACGAATGGAGGCTTTCACGATTAAAAGTAAAAGGCATTTTACCAGCCATCCAAATTCATTCAGAATTTACGGTTTCCAGATCAGACAACCTGTATTAGGTTATAATGATGCATGTATCTTAATGTAAATTTTTTTTTTAATAAGTTAAATTTAGCTGAAAACATGTAGTGATTTTATAACGTTTCCTCCAAAGATTTACAGTGGCCTTTGATAAAAAAGTTTGGAGACCCCTGAATTAGACAACAATATATTTTTACTCAACCAAAGGCCCAAGAATCTCAAAACTCGATTTATGGTTTATACTGGAGGGTGGGAAGTCAATCCATCTAAACTATTACCTCAGTTTCCGTTAGGCCTAGTTCATAATTATCCTTTGGAGGGTAAGTTAAGTGATGATCTGATGTTACAGGAGGAGATGATGAACTTACACGTAGGTGTGGCTGCTAGCGCTCCACCCAACGTAGATGTACAGTATATCAACACCACTATCAACTCACTGAGAGCTAACCTATCACTCATCAATGATACGCTCAGCAAGAAGATCCAATGGAACCAAGACGACCAGGAACACCAATATGTGAGTCTACCAGACAAGTACTTGTGTTCATGCAACATTATGAAGCTTAAACGATTAAGATTTAGATTCTTGGTCTTTAAGCGACCACTATGTCAAAATTGACAAAAACACTTTAATGTACCAGAGTTTAAGTTTCAATACAGTGTGCCATCTTTAGGGTTACTTGACGTTGTTACAACTGTGGGAAATTTGTTACCCTGGAAACAGTACTCTTCATTAAAATGATGGTGTATTTAGGTGTTTGACTGATTTTTACATTGTCGATTCTGAAAACTATTATTCTACATTAGGTGGCCGAGAAATCCCATTAATTGAGATTTTTAAAATTAAATTAAACAAGTGTAATTTAACTTTATGGGTGGTCTATGTATAATTTATCTTTACAGCTTATCTGTAAATTTAGTGTTTGTTGGGGTATTAAAAATTAAAAAAATTCAAGAAGTTCTGTAGTTGCATGTAACAGCAAACAACTTTCAAAACACAACCAGCTGTGGTATAACATATTCTCCCTTAACTGACCCTGATTAAACCATCCGAGTTAAAATAGACATCGGTTTATCCAAGTAAAACTGGTTGGTTTAACCAGATCATCTTTCCATGGTACAGTCAATTGATACAGTTACGTCAACTTCACTAACATCACTCTTTGCATACTAGTATTTTATTTAGCAATAGATTTTACAACAAAAACATTACAAAACTATGTGTTGATGTATGCACCCGATTTTTGTTCATATAATGTCATTAATACAATTTTTATAAGTATTTCACATGTTTAAATAGTTGCCCATCCAAGCAACCTTTTAGGTTATTCACCCTGCTCTATGAGGATTGGTTAAGAAGAGTACTTGGAGGCTAGCGCTGGCAGCCATCATGGATAATTTCTAAGAGCTGCTGAAGAGTTATTTAGTATCTAAAAATATTATTTCAATCGCCAAGAGTGATTGTAATTTATATATCTAGTATATTGTGGGATTAGAAATTTTCTTTACAGTTCGTTAATTATTTTATGAGTTAGAAGGTCTAGTCTCCAAGGACTCTTAAAAGAGAGCTGATGTAAATTCTTAAATTATAATCCAAGTTGTTAAAGCAAGACTTCTTGATTACAGGTTAATACGTACATTTTTTCTCATAAGAAAACTAGTTACTATTTATTTTATTGAATGTTGTCTGATATCAAGTGGGATCGTAGAAAATGTTTCATTTTATTAAATTTGCCAAACAGAAACAAATAGTGAGCCTGCAAGAGCGCAATGAGAACGTCAGCACTCGAGTGACCTCGTTACAAAACGAGTGCAACACCAAGAACACTCAAGTAACCTCTCTAAGTTCAACGGTGGACCACCTAACCTCACAGGTATTCTGTGTTTTATTTGTTTAGTTTAAAACATTCGAAGTTTAGATATTTATTTTATGTTGTTTTTGATTTCAATAAAAAACAATGATAATGTGTTAAAAAGTATTTATGAATTTTAGTGGAGGAAAATGTGTACAGTCCAACCTCAGTATAACGAATCTGAAGGGACCGAATTGAATATTCGTTATATCAAGGATTTCGTTAAAACGAGGTTCGTTATATAGAGGTTAGGTTTGCAGGAATTTCGCTAAGTCGAGGTTCAGAACCAGCGTCGGTCAATATAAGTCGGGATTAGACATCATTAAAACACAATTAAAGTAGCATAGGCTACAATACTTTACTGTACAGTGTTTACATTGTACAGTAGAACCTAAATTATCCGGCATAAAAAAGGGGAGGGATCTTGAATATTGCGCTATCATGAAAATGGCATTGACCTTGGTACAGGTTAAAAACTGTTAGTTTAAAATCACAGCTTGTTCTAACCCTCCTAAAACCTAGCCAAACACTGTATTGCGTAGTCATAAACCATGTAAAGAACAAAACAAAACAGTAATAGAAAGTTTTGTAAGCTACACTGCTCGTGATAGGCCGGTAGGCTACTAACAGTACAGTACTGATTTATCACAACAGAGGAATGTCAATAATAATCATTAAAACTATAGCATTGGTGTTGCTAGTTGAAACAAATCGTATTGAAAACAATACATTATTAGATAAGTCATTATAAAAGTGTATAATCATAGCCAACTTAAAGATAATAAAAACACTCGAAAAAGGAACACTCTTAGGTTTCTCTTCATCCAAAAATTGTACAATTCACCATAGCTATCCCATATCGCCCAATCACAGCTTACTAAACACAGGGTGTCCACATTCTGGAAAGTCAGGGATAGTCATGGAAAGTCATGGAAAAAAATTCTGGTCATTGAAAGTCATGGAAATAGGCAAAAGTCATGGAAAGTCATGGAAATCCCCAATGATGGATGGATTCCAGGGGACCTTTCAATGCTCTAGTGGGTCGTAACCCCAACTATTGTAGCATTTTCCGAATTTTTCACAAATGTACGCCAATTTCAATTTATACAGTTGTCTTAGTTTATGGGTTTTGAGACTTGTATTAGTTCATTGTTGTACCTATTGTACTCCATTGTTATCTGTTATTACATATTTCAATATTTTCTGTGAAATAACTTGTCTAGGCAGTATTATTCGTGTGTATACGGTATATTATAATTTTTGAGTTAAGTTCGTGAGTCATGGAAATCAATGGTTAATGGTCATGGATAGTCATGGAAAGTCAGGGAAATTAAAGACAAAATTTCTGTGGACACCCTGTAAACATTACGTCGTCATCAGTCCTCAGTGAATGAAATCAGTTCTCGTTCTCGTTGCAACATAGCGCGCGCAGCGACAGCAGACGGAGATGTGTAAAACGGAGCAGACGAATGTTAGCGCAAGCGCTGCGTCACCTTTCCATTTAATTTGATAAAGAAACAGATTTTTCAAAAACAATAATTGGGTGGGGGGATTGTTATATCGAGGGAAAGACGAAGACAATTTGTTATGCAGAGGTTAAATTCGCAATGTAGAGGTTCTGACAATGATAAATTCGCTATATTGAGGTAGCCTATCTTATTTTAGCCAAAATCACAAAAAAATCGTTAAATCAAGGTCGTTTTTATGGTTTGTTTGTTATGTAGAGGTAAAATATACATTGTGTCTTATGGAGAGTTCTAGGGGATTTAAAAAAATTTGTTATATCAAGGAATTCGTTGTATCGAGGTTCGTTATATCAAGGTTTGACTGTATTACAAAAGTAGATCTTCATGCTTAAGTGTTCTTGATTCAAACAGCACTATCAACAAACAGACATTGGCATGTTTTAAATTCCAGCCCCTTGAATTGGACTTTCCAATGTACAAGTGAACCAAATTTAGTTGCCAATTCAAAAAAATTATACCTACCAGGTAAACCGTTCTTCAGCTTAATACAGCCGTTACAGCCTGTTGAGTCTTGCTTACCAAGACCACAAAGAAGTAAGGCACAGAGAAAATATTCAATGGTAAACTTAAGTGTTGTAGTCTAGAGCAAAGTCCAACACCCACCCTTCACCTCCATGTACTACACCGCTCATGGTGGAGGAAGACCCTAAGCTCTGTACGGTAGAAATTTCTATGCATTGCTCGCCGCTCAGGCTCTTCCTTGCTCGTCATAAGTATATTTCCAGCACAATATACTAGAGCTGAAAGCGCACAGTCGTCCAGAAGAAAGTTTCCTCTTCTCCTACTTTTCTGTCCCAAGAGCATACATAAAAGCCCTCCCCCCCCAAAAAAACCAACAAACAAAAGACAAACACCTTTGTCAAATTTGTTCACAAGTACAGAAACAGTAAGCGTTTCATAGCAAATTAAACTATTTTCTTTGTTAGAGGGAGCACTAGATTAGACTGAAACTGCTCATCCCTTGGTATAAAGTCTGGCTTTGTGTTATAACCACAGAGATTATGATATAAATGTAGCTGATCTGCCTAAGAACAGGTTCCACCCAATACTTGATGGATTATCAAACAGTAGCACTCTATGAAGCAGGTGTAAGCACTTCCCTATGGTTCTAACTTAAAAGTGTAATTTCCCCTAGTAAAACAGATGGGTCTCTGTCCCCTAGAACTCCCCACTTTCTGTACTTGGTGTATCCCTTTTCCTAATTCCACATCATTATATCCTGAAGAATTTAGGGGGTTTCTTTAATTTACCATGATCTGTGTCTCTTGTGGTCTGTTTTGAGTTGCCTCCTGCCCAATCGTATGATATTGTTGTAACCATCTAAAAAGGAAGGAGAGATTGAGTTTGCTTACCCCATGACGCAGAAGCTGCATCCATCTCTTTGTTTTCCTTGTTAGTCCTACAAAAGATTCCACAGAATGTGAGCCTTATTTTTGAGGCTGAGGCTGTTTTCGCTTGTCAGTTACTCTATTTTACCCTGTGTAATTGAGTTTGGTCCATCTTTGGTGTTACCACCCCCTGTGAAACCCACTTGCTAGTCCTAATTAGAACTTACGATTAGAAAAAGCCCAATGCACATCCTGCAACAAGTGTAGAACGTCCTTTTATTGCGGAGGAGACCTTTTTAGGTGCTCCCAGGAAAGTTCTGCTCTCCTTCCTAAAATTACAGTTTATAAACTCAGATCTGTAGTTATATCTCTTTGAATCTATAGACAAGCCTTCTATGATGAAGGGGTGGAGTCCATGCTGAAAAATTACTCACTAGGGCATGTTTTGGTTGTTTTCTCCTCAGTCATACTTCTGGAACACTTTAAGCATCTTTTTGTAAGTTATGAAGTGCCTGGGTATATGTTATGTGTAGGTTTTTGTGTGGCACACAGCTACAATCATAGTAAAATTTCGCCCCCTCGTTCCTACCACCTGGTTTTATGACTATACTATTTAGTTGGTCTAAAGTGTTAATTTTGGTAAAATTATAGATGCCTTGGGAGAACCAAAACTTGCGATATTAATCTCTTAGTCACACTCAGTTTATTTCCCATTCAAACACAAGGTATAGTAGTCCTCTTGTACAGTTAAGAGTCCATACTTTGTTCATTTTCAAATGTTGTACAAATGGCTGAAATAACCAGGGTAAATTTCAATAGGGAGGATTATGATCATAGAAAGTTTTAATTTAAAGCCTGTGCCGTTGGCTTACACGAATCTGTTTTTTTTTCAAGCTTCAAATAGAGAAACTGGATGGTTATTAAAACCAACATTAATCCTCAACGAAGGCAAAAACCATTCAATAAATGCTAGATCAACAGTTTATTTTGATCTTATCAATACAGCTATTAAAAAAAGAACACAAAGTTACCGAGAAGTGAATATATTAGTGAATTAACAAGCTAGTCAACTTTCTGCTTATCTGTGCCAAATATAGGGTACTCTTGGTCCTTGGTTAAATTGTACCGAGAAGCGCCAGCCCCTTTGGTGGAACGGATGGAATTTCCTGCGGTTCTAATGAAACTGTGAACATCTCCCTCAATCACGGGGATATTATCTAAGAAAATAAATATTCAGTTTTGGTTTCTCAAAAATTGTTTCTGTACAAAACTCTGTGGCATTGCTTCTGATGGTATATTCTGTATAGGGTGTGACTTAGCTGAGTACCATTGATGACATTGTTGTGACTCCTGAAAGGGCAATCACAAACTGTATCAAGCATTTAGTTAAGGACATACTTTTTGCAGAAAATACGTACATAAAAATTGATTGGCTTCAGTCAAGGAAACATCTGAAGAAAGCTCTAGTTTAAGGTAATGTATCAACTATCAACAGCTAAAGTCTATTGTAGCCAATACTCCTATGGCCAATGGGCCACAGGAGTACTGGCCCTATCGAGGAACAAGGTTTTCAGTGGTTAACAATTAAATTCATTTCCACCACCTTTACTCATATCTTTTTAATAGTATGCTGTGTACTGACTAAAATAACTGTAACTTTACTGTTTGGCAGTTAAAGAAGCAAGAAGAGCACTGGACTCAAGTATCTTCCAGAGTCAGTGAATTGTCAGAAATGTGCAGCAGAGCTGAGAGTAACTACACCCAGCTGAGTCAGCAGCTGAGTAGTGTACGGAGTGCACTGAGTAACTCCACTACTCACCCTGAGACTGACAGTGAGTAGTACCTTTGACTGTAGATAGTGAGTAAACTGTCAGAAGTGTGCAGCAGAGCTGAGTCAGCAGCTGAGTAGTGTACGGAGTGCGCTGAGTAACTCCACTACTCACCCGGAGCCTGACAGTGAGTAGAACCGTTGACTGTAGATAGTGAACTCGAACTGTCAGAAGTGTGCAGCAAAACCGATAGTAACTACACCCAGCTGTATCAGCAGCTGAGTAGTGTACGGAGTGCGCTGAGTAACTCCACTACTCACCCTGAGCCTGACAGTGAGTAGTACCTTTGACTGTAGATAGTTTAACTGTCAGAAGTGTGCAGCAGAGCTGAGAGTTACTACACCCAGCTGAGTCAGCAGCTGAGTAGTGTGGGAGTGCGCTGAGTAACTCCACTACTCACCCTGAGCCTGACAGTGAGTAGTACCTTTGACTGTAGATAGTGAACTGTCAGAAGTGTGCAGCAGAGCTGAGAGTAACTACACCCAGATGAGTGAGAAGTGTACGGAGTGCACTGCGTAACTCTACTACTCACCCTGAGCCTGACAGTGAGTAGTACCTTTGACTATTGATAGAGTCGGTGAATTAAGGTGATTGTGGGTTTCACCCAATAAGGTATTTGATAAGGTAAGGTCTTGGATTTCATAGTACTGCTGTATTTCAGTTATCATTTAGTTCAAGGATAATTTATAACAACTTTAGGTTTGATGAAGTAGATAGTCAAAAGCAATAAATCTCTGGGATTCATTTAGAAGTTCCCTGTACATCAGTGATATATGTAATGCTTGTCTTGTCACACAACTTATAATTACTGGTGAAGTGCTAAAGTAAATTTTTATTTTTGTCAACAGTGTTCCCGTCCTCCAGTCACAACCTCCTCACAGTCTCCCACATCCTGGTTTTTTCTCTTTTTGTTTCCTTCGTCCTGGTTTTCCTTTGTTACCTCTATCTTTAGCAGAGGTAAGTCACCAGTTTACATAATTTATTATGCAGCTTTTAGAATAATTTATTAGTGTTTATTGTGTTGATTTATGATTTTTGTTGAACTCTAGACATGAATACAATACAAAGCTGTAAACAATATTTTGTGTTGGCGAGCGCTTTTATAGGAAGCCATGAGAATTAAGGGTGGTGTTGTGTAAAAGTCATAGTTGTGGGATGATGGGCTTTAACAAGTTTTTTTTAAAAGGCTCAAATTTTGATCAATATTATTACTACAGTATTATCACAGACAAATAGAATGAATATAGACTGTCAAAAGAAGGTTTCGCGATGACGTTAAAGTGTGCTCAATGTTCGTCGATTCGCTGCCATCGTCGACTCACCGACTGCTACTAGCACTACTCTTGCAAATGAAATGCTACTATATATCAGACCCAGATTTCAATAGAGGTAAAGTACAAAATTGTAAAATCCCATAACTTAAAAAAAGCCCATTTTTTTAAAACCCTGGAAATTTTTAAAACACAGAAAAATAACAGAACAAACTCCTACTCCCCGGACTCTGGGCAATTCTCCAAAAGTTGGCATACCTGGCTCCAACTACCAACTTGACATGACAACGCTCACTAGCACTTGACGCTGCAGCAGTGTGCGCCAAAACTACACGGCACTCCTAGCAGTGGATGCCAGAATATATGGTAACCGCAGCACTGCTATCGGTCTATATTTAATTCTTTCGTCTATGGTATAAACTATAACAGTTACCATATCAGGTACTAGATATAGACAATTTCCTGTGTACAAACCACACCTTAAACTTGTTATCAAAATGAACAGGAGATCAAAATACATTCTTCTATACTATACCATTAAATTTGTATATTTTCATCAATTGAAAAAATTGCTCAGATATAGATATTTGAGCAAGAATGACTCACTGACCAAGCCACCGTCTGCTTGAGCTGCTTCAGCATGCACAATAGACTCAAGGAATAAGACTATTAGTGAGGTTGACTGGCTCACCTCACTCTGACCTGTGTTTTACTATAGTGTCGACTGTCGAGTGTTAACATGTGAACTGTTTGCAGGTACGAGTCTGTCAGAGTCCACGGTGACTGTATCCAGTCAAGGTTTACGAGAGTCTTGAGTCACTGCCTAACTCTTCTACTGTCTCGTGTCGTAAGACCTGTGTAAATATCATTCTCCGTTAGTGAGATCTTGTCACTCCTCACTCTTTGAGTGAATTGATTTTAACCAAAGGGAAACTGTAGACTTTGATATCTTTTAAACAAATCTTACGTGTAAGTTTTACAGAGGTCTTTTGTATTTTTGAAAACATCAGTTACGTATCTCTTTTCAAAATGCTCAAGTTGACCTTTACGTTTGTTTATACTAGAGTATCAAAATGTTATAAGTTACAACAATTTTCTGACTGAGCTAAAGTTTTGGGTTCTCGCTTCATCCTCAGGTATTATTTAAGGTTAAGATTACTGTGCAAAGTGTCTGGAATTCTGTAAAATTATGTGTGAACAAACAGTACCGTACTTTGTTTTATAAAAAGTTGATTTCTGTACTATACTTTTTATAAAGGAACCGCATAAAACATTTTGTGTGATATTCGTGAAAAGGAACAACGAGCCTTTAAATAAATGTTCACTAAATGGTGTACAGTGTGAAATTCACCAAAACGTAGCGTTTGTGACTCATCCGTGGATTCGGGAAATGGTTTCTTGGTAGTGAAAAGATAATTTGTTCTAGTCGTATTTACTTAACTATTAACATGTTCAAAAACTATGTTAGTAACTTGAAACAATTCAGATGTTATATATATTTAAGTTTTAGGAAATGTAAAATATTAGTAAATTTAATAAGCCTTCCATTTTGAATAAATTCTGTCTGGAAATTCTAATTTTATTTATTTTGAAGTGGTACTTTCTTTATTTATCTTACATGTTTAGCATGTTGAAATTACTAGGCCCGATTGATCAAATTGGTATGTACATTATAGTCTGTATGTTGGAACCAGTGTTCCAACCCTTATTCTACCTAGGGACTGGCTAATGGTTTAAGGGTCCGAAGGACATCAACTCGGAAATCTCAGCTCGGGCTTCAGTAGCTATGTTGCGCCATTGAACAGCGCCATGAGAAGGGCTTTCAGACGTTCACGGCAACTGCCTTTGTAAACTGCCCATACATGCTAGTAAAAAACAATGAGTGGGGTTTTACAGAACGAAGAACAATCTATGCGTCTCTGGTTTTAGAATTTTAAAGTAACAATTCCATAATGAGTTAAAGCAGTTTAAAATTGCCGTTTTTTGTCTACATTCAAAGAAGATTTTCAGGCTTTATGGTACGATATTGAAAATATTGAAACCACAACACTCTACATAATTTAGTCCTCTTCAAAATGCCCCCCTAACTTTGATTCTATGTTAAGTGTAGCCTTCAGAAACACGGTTGCCCCAGACCCTTGTGTTTACACAAACCAGCAGGGGTAGAGTGCACACTCAAGGTCTGGGCTAGTATAAGGATCAGGAGACATGTTCCATCATACAGACTATAGAACCTCCTTTCACTGTTGGCAGAATGTTTATTGAATTTTGCTTTCAAAGAGAATCTTGGAGAAATCTTGAAAATTTTTATTCTGAAATTGGTTGTTAAAGAAAAAAACAATATGACACTTTTTGATGCTGAAAAGAAGTCTCATCAAAAGTTAACAAAGATAATCAGTTGGTTAAATTAATTGTTTATAACTATTTTGGTGGGCACAATAGTTACATTGTACCCCAATAAAATACTGAACAAAGATTGATTAAAACCTAAAATTTCTATGATAATCGTAAAACTTGATATCATTAGTCTAACACAAACCAAACGTCCATAAAGTTTAGAGCTAACAGTGAAGAATTAAATGTGTGTTCTTCAATTCTTAGCATTTCCTCTTGAAATAGTTATAAGATTTTTAACTTACGATTTGGTTGTATTCCAAACTATTTAGAGACTGTAAGCAATAATACAACCTGATGTTTACCAGTCCAGTAGAGTGCCAAAAATGTATTTTTCTATGGCTAAGGAAGTGGACATGATCTAATGCACCAATACTTGTACATTTACACTTAAGTTGTACCAAACCTGTGTATTATATCTGATGATTTATGTAAATATTTTTATAACTAGTTCTATAAATTATTGATTTTAGGAAAATTATATCATTGTTATGAATTCAAAGAGTCAATAGTAAATAAATTATCTGTGAATTAGATATGTGTGTTTTTATTGTATTTTATGTTATACTTTAATGTGACTTTGATTTAATTAAATTAAAAGGTTTCTGTAAGAAAAGACTAACATACAAGGCATGTTTTTTTAAGTAGGTACAGTTTTTAAATTTCTCCATTCCAGCTCTGCGATTGGCATTTTTGACATTTGTGCTGTGTAGATGAATCTATTGGCAAGCCTGTGCTGGAAATTTGGCAACAATCGGCTGTGTTTACATCTGGTTTCAAGCATTCAAAATGGCGTTGCCAATAATTGAGACTGCCGCCGACTGTGAAGTGCATGCTGTAATTAGATTTTTAAATGCTAAAGGTGTGAAAGCCATTGAAATTCATCGACAGATTAGTGAAGTGTATGGTGAGAACTTTATAAGTGAAGGAATGGCATGCAAGTGGGTAAGGGCATTTAAAGACGGCCACACCAACATTCATGATGAGCAATGCACCAATTCATCAGTAATGACAGATGGCCGGCGGCCGCCCAGTGCGACGCTCATCATGAACGTTGGTACGACCGTCTTAAAAAGCCCTTACCCACTTGCGTACCATTCCGTCACTCACAATGTTCTTACCAAACACTTAACTAATTTGTCGATGAATTTCAATGGCTTTCACTCCTTTAGAACTTACAAATCTATTACAGCGTGCACTTCACAGTCGGTGGCAGTATTAATTGGCGACACTATTTTGAATGCTCGAAACCGGATGTAAACACGTCCGTTTGTTGCAGAATTTCCGGCGCAGCCTTGCCAATAGATGCACATACTTAGTACAAATGTCAAAAATGCCAATCACAGCACTGGAACACAGAAATTTAAAAACGGTACTTACTTAAAAAAACATGCCTCGTACAATTATGACATTAAAAAATAGAGTTCAGCTAGTTCGCCTGTGAAAAATTAGTGTCCACGGGCTGATAGAAATACAAAAAAAGAACAATAAACATAAATTTCATCTTGATGTAAGACTTGTTTAGAGAGTAGGTTAAAGATAAACTTATTTTATTTTATTCATTTTTATTTTTACTTCAACCTATTCTCTGAAGAAGTCCTACATCAGGACGAAATGTTAGTGTTCTTTTATTGTGCGCCTATCTATTAACCCCTGAACTCTAAATTTTCTCTGGTAAACTAGCTGAACTCAATTCCTTTTCAAAAACTCCTTACCGGTACTCCTTTTAGCCAACTTAACTCCTTTTAGCTAATTGGTATTTCTTCAAATTATTACATACAATTGTGTGTTTTTTATTTTTATTTTGTGCGTTATACATTATTGACATTTTTCTTTTTCGTCTGCCCCATTACGCCTGATCTAAACCTTGCTCTTGTTACCATGTAATTTTGACATTTTGTGAGATTTAGATTGCATCATTAATTAATTATTGATAAACTAATGACAATAATTGGTATCCAGGCCCAAAATCATCTTCACTAGAAATCATACTAACAACCTCCTTGTTTGTGTATTTGACAAAAAAAAAATTGTAATGTCTGAAGAGATATTTATGGTTAAACTCATTTTCCTACAGTCACCAGACAAAGTGGCCTTCCTTGCACCGATTATAGCACAGAAAGCTGCTAAACTTGCATTTACCTACTTTTGCCGCATTCCAGTATTCCAACCAAACAACACAAAACAGCGTTCTTTTATTAGGCACGTAACACATGTAAGCTTGAAAATAAGTTGGCAACACTTAAAGATATTACAACTACGATCAGCTGATGCAGCGTTTCCCATTTCGTTCAATGTTTGGATTTAACCTCCTAAAAACGTGTTGAACAGTGTTTGAAAGACTAATTATTTATATGCTTTATTGTAAATGTAGGAAAAATGTAATGTGTAACGGGAGTGAAAACTGTCTTTGCTGCACTTGAGAAACTTTCTATCATGCGTTTGTTTACGGCTCGTGCGTAAACATTTCTCTCTTGTGCAGCAAAGTGCCACTTCGCCCACTAGTTACACAAATAACTATTTACAATGTGTGGATGGAAGAATAGTACAATACATCTAAAGTAGTGTAGAAGTTCCAAGGTTCAAGTTAAGAAGAAGCAACTTAACTAAGAGTGGACAAACTTTGACTATTGATACAACTAGACATTCCATCCCCATGTTAAAGTTGTTGCCGCTTCTCAAATCAAAATGGACGTAGTTGAAGTGAGCCACCAACAGATTGCGCTGATGTAAATTACAGATTTTTAAATTACTTAATTAAACCATATGGACAGTAAGTAAAATTTTTGTTACGTTACTCTTGTCTCACATTTATTATACTTACGAGTTCGCAGGTTTAACATTACCAAGCCCCGGTTAAAGTTTTGGCATTGGTATTTATTTACAACTTACCGTAAGACTGACCTAAGGTGACAAAACCTTAACCTACAGATGCTACTTCATTAATCAAGAAAATTCAGCTTGTTAGCGAATTTTCCATATAGGGAATAAGCTACTACCGTAGTACTCATGGTAAGACCTGGACGCGGGACCGATTTTTTTTTTCGTTTTGGGGTCCCTAGAGGCCAAAACACCATCCGTTCAAATTCATATATATATATATATATATGTGTCCGTTAGCACGATAACTCGAGCAAAAATGATCCGATTTTGATGAAATTTGGTACAAACGTGTAAACCTACGTTTATTCGAACGAGTTCGCGATCCAGCATGATCGGACCATGGGAACGGGGGTTTACGGGGGGTTTTATGGGGTAAAAATAGGTTTTTCCCATTTTTGACCCAAAAAACATAAAATTTAGCAATTTCATTCCAAATCATTTTGTAGAGCTTAAAAAAACAAATAATTTAGTATATTGAAGCGTTGTTATACGCCTAATGGTTACGGAGAAAATTCCAAAAAATTTTAAATTTAAAATTCCAATGTTATTCTTATGGAGAATAAGTAAACTGTTGTAGTTTACTTGTTTATGAACATATTCTGATCAAATTTGGAAAATGTTTTAATTTCTTACTAACTATTAACATAAAAAAAAAAAACAGTTTTACCCTCCCTGATGCAGCAAACCTAAGTACTTGTTAAACTAATTTGATTTAAATAGGGAATAAATGTTATATTTTTAAGTAGACATTTCAGTGTAAATCCAATCAGTCAAATGGAAATTCGCTTAGTCTGCAGGTTTGCTGCGGCGGGGGTATTTTTTTAAACTGGTGTATTTAGCATGTATTGGACCGGTTAAATGAAAATATATTTATATAGCTAACATTTTGTGAGCTGTGGAATGTTTGTTAAACGTTAAAGCAAGATTCTGGAAAGCAGTGATCCTGCAATGATGTTAAAGCATGATCCTGGGAGTTAAGGCGAGTTTTCCCAGCTTACAAATATGGATGTGGGATTGTGAATGACGTGCGAGTGTTCTAGTGCCTGCTTTTTCAGGGTATAGCTACTGCTGAATTCGACAGCAAGGAAATTGGCTTTACCTGATCTTTGTGTGAATATTTGGTGACTAAATTCAAAATGTAAGAAATAGAGCGTTCCCTTAGTTGGTTAGTAAGAGTCACAAGTGGCGGTCCAAAAACTTTGTCATGGAAAATTTGCCATTTAAAAAGCCGTTTGGCGACATTTTGAAGCCATTATAAGTCTAAAACTGTGTCCAAAAAACCCTGTTACGATGTTATGACAAAACATATGTTTATATTTATGTTTATAGGGTCTAATGGGGTGGGGCTTTGGCCCTTATAGCCCCCCCCCCTATGAAGTGCCATGAGACTCGCTATTAAATTATTAATTATGAATTCCACATTAAATTCTAAATTCCGTACAAAGATTGTACTAGGTACAGCTTTTTTAAGATTACATTTGTTTCTCAGTTACACAGTTTTTCCGTAAGCCTTGTCCAATCTACGTTTAATCTTCCTAGTAAAGAGTCTTGAATTATTCCATCTTGCAACCGTAATCTTTAAACACCACCACTTCTTGACATCTTTAATGATCTCAGCCAGTTCCACGGAGCAACACTACCTTCAAAGAGTTATGGAAACCATCCATGAGTTAGTATTCATATTTGGCCGTGAGAGCAAATACAATATTTAGAAGCTCTCCATCCCTTCAGCTGTGTATATTTACCTACAAAACCCCTCAGCACATTTCCAATGTTTTATTTACTCAGTAGGATGGGTCGCAGTCAAGTTGGCACCACGACAGATTGGCACCATGGTGTTTTAGCTCCCGGCATAACATTGGAACCTCGTTGAAATGAAGACCTGAAATATCACTCCTCGTCAGCTTGTTACCACGACAGATTGGCACCACCCCTTTCTCGGGGTTCCAATCTGTCGGTTACCGCACACATCTGATTGTCACCTCTAGGAGGGGTGCTAATCTGTCGTGGTGACAATTAGACATGTACCCAGTGGGATTTGATTGAGCATGTCTGGTTACATTTGACAAAATCAAAATGTTAATTTTTTATCCATTAGCAAGCACCCTACAGTTCTTCCCATAAACTCAGATCCGTTATCACTAACAAGATATGCTAATATTCCAAATATTAGGAAGACATCTTACTCTATATATTTTGCCACCAATGAATTAACTTGCTGCTAGTAGAGGAAACAAGTAAAATAAATTTTCTGAAGGTATCTTAGTTTTAAAATTTTACAACTCCAAACCAATGATTTATTTCATTTGGTTAAATAGAGAAAAGAACTGTATAAGGTTCTTTAAACAAAAGAAGAAATATTTCAGAGGAAATATTCTTAAATCTGGTGTTTAGCAAGAGATTTTTATGGAGCTAATCTGTGCATTCTTTGAATAAGAATTATCCTTACTTTATATTTAGGTTGTGCAGTGTATTTATTTAAAACATCCTAACAAAATATTTAGTTCAATAATACCATTGTTTGTAATTAAAAAATATCTACTTCCTAAATTATTTTTTTATAAATAAATATATTTTAAAGCTCTATATTATAACTGAGGATAAATATTAGAATAATGTCATCTGATAAGGGTAGTGATATGTGTTATGTG